CAAGACACTGGTTAAACGTTTTATCTTCGTGAATTTCAATTAATCTAGACAGAAATTTTCCATCATGAATGCCCGAAATAAACTGTTGCCGCAGATGAACGTCAGATGTTGATGCATTACATTTTGGACATTTAAAATCACATTTACTGGCTAAGGTTTTCAGATCTTTGGCGAAGCTGCCTACAGATTCACTCGGATTCTGGATTCGTTTAGTGAACTTATGTTGTTCTGCAATAATACTTCCCTTAGGTTCCAGTAATAATTGTAAAGCTTCACATATTTCGTCATAACTTTTATCCTCAATGTCACATGGGCTTAGATTAATTCTCAGGTCGTGAAATACTTTAGGTGTCAATAAATTGATCAAATATTGCTTTTCTTTAATTCTGACGTGATTCCGTTTAGGTCAAAAAAGTTGTCTAGCCTTACCATGTATGAACTCCATGTCTCATTGTCTTCATCAAATTTATCAAAATTAGAACAGAAAATAGGTTGACTGGGTGTTAATATACCTTCTTCTACTAGCTCCTGGTGTCTCTCACCCTTCCTCCTCCTCATCCTCGTCGCCATTGAACAGTTTTAAATATAAAATGAAACTAACATTATGTTACATAGTTTTTACTTCCATTTCAAAATCATGAACAACACAAAAACAAAAACAAACAAACAATTAAGTCAGCTGAAAACTATTTAAATTAATATATCTGTTTTAAGACAGTACAGTGACTAAGGCCGACATTCCTTAGACACAGCTGTTAATTATTAGCCCATACAGTTAATGGCAACTAAGGGACCTACAGTTTATAGTGGAATACGAACCACATTTTTTCCTTGGTATATACGAATTGGTCTAATTATCAGGATAGTACTGCGGATAGTCGTAGTACTCACTTGTGTGGATGTTAATCCACACCAGGGAGCATCACATCCACAGTGCATGCCTATAAATATCCACAATTCGTGACCTCCTAGTAGCTGGATTACAGGACGAAGCCACCCGTCCCAGTCACATACACCCAAGAATTGGTGTAGATAAAAGGTAAGAGCCTCTACAAGTGGCACGTGTGCTGATGTCAGAAAAAAAATGGAAGTTATCTGATAAGTACTTGGGAATGTTACTATTAATATTAAAGGAGAGTAGAAGACGGAGGGTGTGAAATTCCCGAAGTTCTTTTAAATTCATCAATGAAGGCAGGTTGAAATAGGAAGTAACATGGTCGTATCGCCAAACATGAATCTGATACAGGAATTCTGCGCTCACTGAATTCGAAGTCTGCTGGAAACTTCATTAGTCATGTCATTGATCACCACATCACAGTAGTTGAAATATATACATCTAAGATTCCTGAATTATTTGTCATGTCCAAGTACTGTAATTAATACCAGAACCGTTTGTGACGCAAAATTCTAGGGGGGGAATAAACTAGTATTCACCAAAGTCAGGCTAGGCCTACCCCTAGAACCGGCCACACTCAAATTTCTTCCCCGGAGTGCTCAGAAGGAGCCGAGAAAAATCCAGGGGTCGATACGAAGTTGTCACGGCTTTGACTGATCAATTTATTTAAATTTAATCGAAGGCTCAGAGCTCTAGAAGCGCTCAGGAAATCCTGCAGACGCCCAGGTGGAGCTATATCATCCCAGCCTTCGTTAACGTGTTTTGGTAAATTTTGCCTAACCTTTGGAATGACTCTGTAGGACCGACGAGTATCCAATCATAAGCCAATTTGATGTAAATACTCGTATTAAAATGCAACTAATTAGTTAAAGACGTTGGTAATCAATCTAATGTCGAATAAAAGGTAAAAAAACAATTCCTACAGAGTCGTCGGGGCCTAATTAATATAACTGAACGGATAATTTATCGTGATATGATTTAAAATAAATTTAATATGAATATTGTAGCTGTTTGATTGTTCAAATCAGCTGCTCCCAAGACTTGATTCTTTCACCCGCCAAAGACGGGGTTTAGAACTTAGACGACAAGTCTCGGGGTATTAAAACGGTGAAAACGAGATATAATTTAGACGTGATAATTCTTTGTTAAGCGAACGGAGAAATCGTAATTTCGAAACTAATTAATTAAAATAAAATAAACGATCGCCACCGCTAGTCACTGGCAGGCAGGAACTGGCGGGTCAAGACTCGAGTTGAGATATTAAATTAAGATAATTCGTAATGGAATTTTAAGAAAACGAAAAGGTATAATAAGTAAAGTATGCGTAAGATAAAACAGAAATAACGTAAAACGTAAAAAGGGGCCTAACTAGTATGGTAGCTAACCTTCGTGATAATCGTAGTGTCGTTGTATTCGTAACCCGTGCGAGCTAGTCGGTGGTCAAACAGCGAATAATTCTTGTCCGGCTCAAATCATGATTTCCTCGGTCGAGGCTTAATCGCTCTGGTGGTGAGTTTGAGAACTAGCCAACAGCTGATCGGAAATTCACCTGATGAGCCGGTCTAGTTGTCGTCTGTCGATGGTCAACCAACACCATTTCGAGGTTAAGTGATGTAGTCATCGGCGTTAAATATTCGTAAAATCGGTCGTTTTAACTTTATTATGTGAAACGAAGTGCTATTATGAATAAATATATCGTTGTGGGTGTGTTTGTGTACTTCACTGTTATTAAAAGTAGGCCTACGTTCTTTGGCCCATAGCCCAAGCTATGGCCAACACATAGGCCTAGGAGTAGGATGTTGTGGGTAAAAATCGGGTAAGTTATGGTGTTTGTTGACTAGCAATACGTTTTTACCCCCTTTAAAATTTGGTACCTCACACGTTACTCAAAGTTATTGAACACAAAGTTATTGAAGTAATATGGCAACATTAAAAAACTGCAACGCTGAAAATCTAAATATTACACCATAGATTAAAGCAACTGCTTTAGTTGCTGGGTAAGCTGAAATAAATTTTAATACATGTTTTAATCCCTCTTCTCAAGTCTGTTTTGGTTTGATATAACTGTAGTAATTCTTGAGTAGGTTGGTGTACAGTATTCTAATTATTTCTTGTTATGATACTGAGGTTTACATTGCATTATATTATTATTTTATTTTATCATCTATATAATTAATACGCTACATGAAACATTGTCGGTTGAACTCCTCCGCCATTTCTCAACCGATTTTATCCATTGACATCTCATTGGAAAGAGCGTGTCGCGTAGATTTGCAAACTGGCCTTACATTTTTTTAAAGTCCCTTGGGCTCTGCCCCAGTGGTTTTGTTAGTTCTCATGTTATCCTTATGGAGAACTTAATTGTTTACATTTTGATCAGCTGTATAATTTAATTGCTGTTATTTATTTATTTCAATTCAATGAAACACATTGAGTACATTTATTTACCATTTGAGTTTGTTGATATTTACTATTTGTTTACATTTTGATCAGCTGTATAATTTAATTGCTGTTATTTATTTTTCAATTCAATGAAACGCATTGAGTACATTTATTTACTATTTGAGTTTGTGTAAACATAACCCCCAAGACGGATCGTGTTAGTATAGCTGTATCTTAAATTTGTGTATTTATCGTTGTTTTGTGTTGCTATGACGGATCGTGTTAGCATGATTGTAACTTAAATTTGTGCATTTATTTTTGTTTTGTGTAGCGATAATTTGTTTATTTGTTGTTATTTTTTCTTTTAAATGCCTCCGACGCGACAACAACGAAACATAGACAGGAGGCGTAATCGTGATAACGACCGCAGCTACAGAACACTGGGGCGTAATAGGCTTAACTCATCAGTCAGCACCTGACCCTGGACAATCTCAACTATTAGGTTACAAATGCGCCCTAACACTACCCCAAAAGGACTTTTCGTTCTCAATTGGCCCTCTATCAATGACTTGTGTTGCCTGTACAGCGAGGCATTTTGAGAAGGAGAAAACCGGCCGGAATGCTTTAGGTTTATCAATAACAAAGATAACATGGTCAGAGTTACACACCGGTAATCTTTCAGTCGACTCTTTTAAACTCATTGTAAAAATGACTGTTATTCGTTTTGAAATAGCTCCTGTAATATTTTGAAATTGCTCGAATTCGAGCAACATGTACACTAGTTATGACTTTAAACAGAAAATCCATAATTGTATAAACTTATAAGATAAAACATACTCCATTAGTAGATTGTCCATCCGTATGGAACAGCTGAAGCCAATTTTCAATTTGTGGACTGTTAGTTCTGTCCGGTGTACTGTAGAGTCGTGTTTTGTTTACAATTCGTTTCTTGCTAATTCAGTAATTTAAAACCTCGTTTGATTAAATAAACCTATCCAATCATAAACAACAACTTGTCTACTAGCTATATAACCAAACAGTGAGTCACAAATCATGAGAAACTATGCCTAAAATAATATAAACAAATTGTAAACAAAAAACAACATCTACAGTAGCACACTAAGTCTCCGGTAAAAGCCAAACCAAAGCAAATCTTGACACCTCAAAAGGTCATGTGCACAGTTTTCAGGGACAGAAAAGGCATTTTGCTCGTTGATCTTTTGCCTTGAGGCCAAACAACCGCAAATGTGACTAAGACAATTCTTCAGGGCTTTAGCTGGTACGTATTTACCATCCTCCGGGCAGCACCGACCTCACTCCAAGGGATTTTCATTTGTTCCTGTATCTGAAGTCTTTTCTCGGTGGTCGGCGGTTATTCAGTGATTAAGAGCTGAAAGAATATGATACCTCTTGGTTGACTAAACAGTTGGAACATTCTACGATGGTGATATACTCAAACTTACCACATTATAACAAATGCCTGGAAAATCAATGAAGTTACGTCAAAAAATAGAACAAGAGTTGCAGATTGTTTTTTTATAAATTTCATTGTTGTCTATGTACACGTTATTTTTCTATTTCAAAATGGAGCTTATTTTAGGAACATACCTCCCAGTTTGATTCAGCAGTTTGGTTTTTAGTATGGATTTAATACGCACATATAATATACCAGTTTCAAAAATATATTTGGATTTGTAGTATTGAAATATGTCGCTGTACTCACCCCTTGCCGCACCAACTCTATAGGATTGTCAGACTGATCTTCAATGTTATCCATGTTGTGCGGTAATCTGTCAACTACTCCTTGAGAATAATCAATGCCTTTAGGTGAAAAAAGCACTGGGTTGTGTGGATCTACAAAATCAGGCTAAAACCAAAAAAACATATTTACATGTTTTATTTACACTGTGTTATTTTCATTTTTCTCTTTAATCGTAATCCTATTGCTTTTTACTAATAGTTAAGTTAAATTAAAAAATACCCCCGCCGCAGCAAACCTGCCGACTAAGCGAATTTCCATTTGTCTGAATTGATTTTCAGTTAAATATATTTTAATAACATTAGGTTTAACGAGTACCTAGGTTTGCTGCTACAAGGAAACTAGTAAAGTGTGTTTTTGAGTAAAATATTGATAGCTTAATACAAAATAAATAAATTTGCCAAGTTTGATCAAAATATATCCATAAACAAGCAAACTACAACATTTGACAATATTCTCCATAAGAATAACATGGGAATTTTAAATTTAAAATTTTTTTAATTTTCTCCGTTACTAATAATCGAATAAAAATACTTTTATATACTAAATTATTTGTTTTTTTAAGCTCTTTAAAAAGGTCCAAAGAGAAATCGGGAAATTTTGTGTTTTGAGGGTCAAAAGTGAGAAAAACCAATTTTTACCCCATAAAACCCCCCGTAAAGCCCTGTTCCCATGGTCCGATCGTGCTGGTTTGCGAACTCATTCAAGTTTATCCCGCTTTACACCTTTAAACCAAATTTCATCAAAATCGGACAAAAATTACTCAAGTTATCGCGTTCACGGACGTATATATATATATAAGTCTATATATATATATATATACTAGCTGACCCGGCGAACTTCGTATCGCCTAAGTTATAGGTTTCCCCTAAGACAGACCGATGGAAAGAAAGTACCGTTACGTTTAATTTTCAAGATGATCTCGTTCGCATCGCTCAATCACGTCCTGGTTGAAGTTCGTTCGCTACGCTCACTCACCTTTGGGTTGGAGCTCGTTCGCTACGCTCACTCACCTTTAGGTTGGAGCTCGTTCGCTGCGCTCACTTGCCTTCAGGTTAGCTAGTTCGCTACGCTCACTCGCCTACAGGTTGAAGTTCGTTCGCTACGCTCACTCACCTTTTGGTTGCAAATTAGCTGTTGTCATAAATGTAAAAGAAATAAAATAATAGTGCTGCACCCTGTTGGTAATCCTTGTAACTTTAATGCTATTGAACATCATAGAACAGAACAGAACCAACTTGTTTAATTGAAACAGCTGTTAAGATTCATTAATTCCATTTCTCATAAGGTTAACATGGGAAACTCCAGAGCCACTGGGGCGGAGCCCTTTTAAGAATTTCGAAACGGGAAATAGTTTACGTCCGATTCGCATACCTACAGAATTTACACACCAAATTTCATAACGATCGGTGAAGTCGTTCCGGAGGAGTTTGCAGACAAACACTGTGACACGAGAATTTTATATATTAGATATATCTAATATATAAAATTCTCGTGTCACAGTGTTTGTCTGCAAACTCCTCCGGAACGACTTCACCGATCGTTATGAAATTTGGTGTGTAAATTCTGTAGGTATGCGAATAGGAAGTAAACTATTTCCCGTTTCGAAATTCTTAAAAGGGCTCCGCCCCAGTGGCTCTGGAGTTTCCCATGTTAACCTTATGAGAAATGGAATTAATGAATCTTAACAGCTGTTTCAATTAAACAAGTTGGTTCTGTTCTATGATGTTCAATAGCATTAAAGTTACAAGGATTACCAACAGGGTGCAGCACTATTATTTCTTTTACATTTATGACAACAGCTAATTTGCAACCAAAAGGTGAGTGAGCGTAGCGAACGAACTTCAACCTGGAAGCGAGTTAGCGTAGCGAACGAGCTAACCTGAAGGCAAGTGAGCGCAGCGAACGAGCTCCAACCTAAAGGTGAGTGAGCGTAGCGAACGAGCTCCAACCCAAAGGTGAGTGAGCGTAGCGAACGAACTTCAACCAGGACGTGATTGAGCGATGCGAACATCTAACCTGAAGGCAAGTGAGCGCAGCGAACGAGCTCCAACCTAAAGGTGAGTGAGCGTAGCGAACGAGCTCCAACCCAAAGGTGAGTGAGCGTAGCGAACGAACTTCAACCAGGACGTGGTTGAGCGATGCGAACGAGATCATCTTGAAAATTAAACGTAACGGTACTTAAATTAAAAATAGTCAAAGGCAAGACAACAGACAACGTCTGCCGGGTTTTCCATCGGTCTGTCTTAGGGGAAACCTATAACTTAGGCGATACGAAGTTCGCCGGTTCAGCTAGTATATATATATATACATATATAAAAATTTGAACGAATGGTGTTTTTGGCCTCTGGGGACATCAAAATGAAAAAGTAAATCGGTCCCGGGTCTAGGTCTTACCGTGCCACCTACGGTAATAGCTGCTTCCCTATAGGGAAATTCGCTAATAGTTCTCATCTATGAGGGCATTATTATTCTAGAATAAGTAAACTTTAACCTGCAAAAAACTGGTTTAAGCACAAAATCTCCAAGCTTCAATGCTCAAGAATGTTTGATATAAGAATATACAGGCTTCAAAACCTTTTAGCAACAAGGATTTCATTTGACTTAGACAAAACAAAAAACCTGTCGTTTGATTGGATCAAGAGCGGTGTCAATTTTTTTATGACCTTTCTTGTATTCATGATTTTGTTTAGAGATGATACTGGTTCAGTAATGATTTTGTACTTAGTATGACGGAAATTGGCTAAAATAATTCCTAGAATAATTTTGTTTCACAGAGAGCTTTAGGTGAAAATAACGGGTGAGGTTCATTTGTCCGAGTTTTCAACTGTCCGAGTTTGTAAAAAATTACAAAATATTTGAAAAATCAGTTGTCCGAGTTTCATTTGTCCGAGTTTTGATAAATAATCAATAATATGTAGACAAATCAACTGTCCAAGTTTTCATTTGTTTGAGTTTATTAAATTATTTTTAAAAATATCGAAATATCAAGTGTCCGAGTTTTTAACTGTCCGAGTAGAGTCAACATCAAAAATGTGACACCACGCGCCGAGGATCACTCGCACAATGCCCGACTTTTTCGCAGAAGAGGTTTACATCGGCTTCTGACCAGGCGCCTGAGACGCCAGTCTAGGCGCGCGGTGTCACATTTTTGATGTTGACTCTACTCGGACAGTTGAAAACTCGGGACACTTGATATTTTGATATTTTTTTAAATAATTTAATAAACTCGGACAGTTGATTTATCTAAATATTATTAATTATTTACCAAAACTCGGACAAATGAAACTCGGACAACTGACTTTTTTAAATAGTTTGTAATTTTTTACAAACTCGGACAAATGATGTGATCCCAAAACAACTACTATGAAGTCTACTTGAGCTGTACCTAATCTAAATTATTTTTAGCAATTTAAACCTCTTTGATACCCAACAGATATACTTACAACACGTTTTGGACTTTCTAAAACTCTCGCTTGGGGCGATTCTAATATCTCAGTTGCTTCCGATACTGCCATTTCAAGCTGCAACAGTAACATTAATCATTAAAACTAGATAAACAGAAATAAAGCAAAAGGACTAATATAAACACTTCATATAATATAAGATAACAAAAATTGGTCTGAATATCTTTTGAAAAAGATTCTGTTAACTCAATTTTATAAGTGAACTGCCTTTCTTCTTACAGCTTAAGAAAAACAAATACAAATTTCCTATATACGGTATTTTTCTACAGAGTTATCAAGATAATCTTGGTCTTGTACATGTCATGTTCTTTCTAATAATGGTGTATTGTGTGGAAATGACTAAACCAATCTGCAATATCAACTGTCCTGGCCTACTATCACAGCTGTACGTTGGGCTATAGTGAATTACAAGACATAAAATTAACTTGATACTTGTTATTAAAGTTAATACAATTGAATGTCTCTGTCAAAAAAACTTTAAAAAATTCCCTTCTGTGTGGGGTATTTTGTTTTCCAAAAATACATAGTACTTACAACCGATTAAATGGGCAGCAAACTGTTTGTTGCCATTGGGATGGTCAGAATGTTTTTGCGTTTTCTGAAAATATTCACTTTGTTACAGAAACATACTTACCCTATCAGTCAAAGGTATTCCCCTGATGGGACTTATACTAGTGTTTCTCTCCCCTCCATGCAGTTTAGGACTTGCAGACTCACCCCGAGTGGGTCGACCTCCAGACCTGCTTACATGCCCCTGGGGTGCACTACCACTCCGACCAGAGGGCACCCTCAGGCCAGTCCTCCTGTTTGGAGTCGGAGGATGTCCACTTGCAGCAGATGATGTACTTGGAGTAGTCCGCAGTTTCGAGGAATCACGTACTGGTACACCTTGTTGGGAATTATTTTTTTTCAGTTTTCCAGTAGTAAAAGACTTAGGTAGAGGCCTTCCAAACGCTTTTTCTCTATCCTCCTTGTACTCCCTGCTCGGAACAGCTTCTTGGCGTCGGTCCCAGTCTGTCTCTAAGTCCCGGCGAGTCTGCATCTGATGGACGCTGCGCACATAGCCTTCTTCATAACACGAGTTAACTGGTGATGGGGTCAGCCTACGGGGAGGTAGTAGCTCCCCCTGTCTCACACTGTACTCTGGGTCTTGTTGTGTGTACGTGAATGGAAATTCTTCCGCATTATCGTCAGGTCTCGGAGGAATGGCTATTTTGATCACTCTTCGTTTCAACATCACTCGTTTTTTTCTACGGGCTGCAGGAGCCTTTTGGTTCTTAAGAAGTCCTGGGAAATGTCCTTGTAATGGTCGCTGGACAACCTGTAACCAGCATTAATTGAAAGTTGAGGTCAAACCAATTTTTGGCTTTGGGCTGATATTGCTTTGTTATAGGCTATTTACAATCAATTTTTCTCAGCAAGTTATGTGATCAACATTTTATGTAAATGTATTACAGTAAAGTTTACCATAGGTAAAATGTTTTGAAATGTCTAACAAAATAATGAAAAAAATCTCAATTTATCTACTCTTTAAAAATAAACATAAATGAAATGAAATATTTATTTGTCACATAGAATTTACATAATTGTGATACATCACCAGTAAACATATGACACGTCAGTTTTTCAAACAAAATACATGATATTATTTATTTTGTTTTATTGTAGTTACCATAGTAATATATTAAAAAATAAGGTCGAAAGATTAAAATATAACAAAAAGAGTTACCTAGGTAGTTACAAAAAAAAATTCATCAACTGAATAAGGACAAAGTAGTTCCAAATGTTCCCTAAGTAGTTTTTTAAAAATATCCATCTTTTCTGTCGATTTGATTTGGTTAGGGAGGTGGTTGAATAGCTTCCTACCCATATACAAAGGTGCTTTCTCATAAATAACTGTTCTATGGATAGGGAACTGAAGAGTGTTTCTATGTTGAGTGTTATATGGATGTTGGTGATTTTGTGATGAGAATGAGATCAAGTGTTTTTTAACAAATATACATAGTTGATATATATACACAGCATGAATTGTTAATAGTTTCAAATGTACAAACAGAGGACGACAAGAAGTACGAGGTGCAGTGTCAGTTAAAACTCTTATGGCCTTTTTTTGAAGAATAAAAAACCCATACAAAAAAAAAAAAAACATACAAGTAGGATTGAAAGATTAAAAAGAGTTTTATATGAATGTCTTAGGGAAGAAAAGTTAAAAAACAAATGACGTGTTACATGGTTGTGTGATTTGCAAGTCTTAATGCAAATGGCACTAAAAAGATACTCATTGATGGTGAGAAGTAGGATAACTTGATAACTTGTCTATTTTACCTGTGAAGGTTTGGACCAAAGGTCCACTCCACCACCTTCACAGGCTGGAAAGTGGAATATGGTAGGTTAATAGTATATAATATGAGTATAGAGTATGGAATATTGTTCATTAAGAGTTTTTTAATTGCTTCTGTTGATTTAATAAACATCGAGGATGTGTGCTCAATTATGATTACCTTAAATAATTTATCAAAACACTTAACACTCTTTACCTGTGGAGGTGATTGTTTGTACGGACTAATAAATTGATCAACAAAGTTGAATTCATGTTGCATGTCTTCTCTGCTGCGTCCATAAAACCCCATTGCTTCCATTTCTGCTTGCGTTCCTTTTATTTTCTGAAAAAGATTGTAAGTAAAGTTATCGATACAACTTTTGATGTTTAAAAGCCATCCAACCTGTTTTTTGTAGCATTTGGTGGACTATACTTTTAATAAATCGGTGACTTTCAAATGTGAACACGGTATGGAGTTGGATTTTACAACAAATTTAAAATATACGGTAGCCTTCCAGGATTAAGGACTCAAATACAGATCTTTTAAGCCTGACAATTCAAACTGGCGATCCTTGTGCGTTTTGTATTTTGTGTCAGCATAATGATATTGTGTTAAATAAAAACAATACTAACCAACAAATATAAAGAGAGAGAATAATTTTGATCCAAGCTGAAAACCGCATTGCCCAACCAGATAGAATCTATACGCTGACCTTAGTCGGAAAATATGTGACTTCGGTGACTAGTAGACGGTTGATTAATGAAATCAGGAATAATAAACTGTTCACCAAGTAAACATTCTTGTATGTTGAACCCAAACATCTTTTGTATCTAGATAAAAAATTAAAAGTATGGTATTATAGCAGTATGTTAATATCAAACGTATAGGCCTACATTCAAATATCTATTTAAAAAAAGGCGTACATATTATGCCTATATCACTTATGCTTGAGTATGATCATTAAAAATAAAATAATATATTTTTATGTTATTAGAATATATACTGGATAGCTTGATGAAAGACTTCAATATCAAATTAAAGTTTGAAAATATGCTTATAAACTTATAATTTTAAGACACAATCTTCTTCAATTTTAGTAACCTTAACTGTTATAACACTACTTACTCCAGCTGTATTAGCTGCCTCAACTGATTCCTGAGCAGGCCTCTCAAGTGACGCAGGCTGTAACAGGAAAAATAATACCTTATTTTTGAGGAACATTAGAGGAAAGAGGTAAAAAACAAAATGTTTTAAATGTTTTTGGCTATTTTTTATTCCCAATATTTTGGTGTTGCCAGATTAAAGATAAAATATTTACTATGAAAGGGTGTTCAAATTAACTATTGAATCTTTGACCATTTTCCTTGTCAATTTAAAATGTTACAACTAAGACTTATAAGTCCTCTCTAGATGAAGACTCCTTAAAAGTAGAAACCGTTAACCTAAGCAGGGCTACGCAGGAATCACTTTTGCAGCAAAATGAGTTAAAACTACTATTATTTTTACTACAAATGGTTTGGGGACTAATAAAATCAAATTAATTAAGTTGTTTTTTTCAAAAATAGGTTTTTACCACCTTAACAAACTTAGGCCTACCAAGTTTTGTTAAGGCGGATTACTAAAATAATTTGAAAGCCTTCAAAACAATGAATACAGTAGGCCTACAACATGTTATTTATTATTTTATCTTTAATTTGACCCCAAAATAATTTTCTAGAGTTTGATTCTTTACTTCTGGAACTCAGGGTCGGCCTTAGGTAGTGTGGAGCCTTGTGCAAACAATCAGAGTGGAGCCCCCTTAACTTATTGACTACAGTACCAAAAGTTCTCCCCATCCCTGATCACTATAGGTTTTTGCTCATGTTCATATAATGATAAATTTCTGCGTTCGAGGAAACAATCATGATTATTTTTACTATCCAAGCGACTCCCATGGTAATATCTTGATCAAGTTCAGTGATCGTAATTTTTTTACTTGACACGACAATGTAAGAAATAGGACAAACTGTGATTATTGGTGGTTATTTTAGCCTAAATTTGCCAAGACCTTTAATATTTGTGTGTTTTTGTTTGGAACGTGGTTTACGTTTTGTTTTACATTTTGGATTAAGCAAGTCAGCTAATCTGCAATCATAACAATAAAAATTGTAACTAAATCCCTTCAAACAGTAGGCCTTCTATCTCAGAATTTCAACGAATTTTTGTTGATATCTATAGGCATCTACACGAGTAAAATATATCATCAATTAAACAATTTCAGAGGGATTTGAAAAACTGAAAACATGTAATTTAAAAAGACATGTGATGGTACTTGAGATACAGTTACTTACAGAAGCTGGTCTTTGGGAAGGAATGGAGGGGGAAGTCGCTCTGGTTGACAAAGGACTCCTGGATGTAACGCGAGATCTGAAGAGCAACCGAGGGTCATCCTGAGTGAGAGGAGGTGCTGAGGTAGCTGTCGCCCCACTCTGCTGATGCTGAGCAAACAATTAAACAATACATTAAACAAAAATTAACAGAATCTGTTGTATTAAGTCTGTCTTTTTATCATGTGTTTAAATATGTTTGTTGTCAGATGTTTTTGTAAACATTAGTTTAGTTTGAAAATAGAGTTTGTTCAAGCAAGATGTGTGAATAATATTCTTGTATAAGAAATAGAACATGGTGGCAGCTTAGTGGATTTTTTATCGAACAAAGTCTAAAACCACGCATGATGTCAAGTAAGGGCAGTAAAAAACGAAATACTCGTAGGCAAAGGTATGAGGACAATGAGGAGGATGCCCAAAGTGAATTCAACTACATGTCAGAAAGGGATTCTAGAAAGACTGAAGGTGAGTCACTAGGTTTTGCATTGGGACAGACAAACCGAGAAAATAATGCAGTAATGTGTACTCATACTCCTATGATAAATCTGACGTTACCAACTCCAGATACCTTCTCTTTTACTCCGAATGAGTGGCATTCCTGGAGGAATCGCTTTCAAAGGTACAGACGGGGGTGCGGTCTAGATAGCACTTCCGACGCTCGGCAAATCGATGTACTTTTGTTTACAATGGGTAGTAGGAGTGAAGATATTTTCGATTCGTTTTCACCAAAACCGAATACTTATGACGAGGCTCTTCGGGCCTTTGATGCATACTTTGTGCCAAGACGAAATATCATTTATGAGAGAACAAAATTTCTGAGACACAAGCAAGGGAGTGATCCATCTGAAAAATTCATAACAGATTTGCATGGTCTTGCAAAAACGTGTGCATGGGGTGAACTGAACGATGAGATGGTGCTTCTGGTCCTCATTATTGGTATGAAAGATGAGGCTCTAAGTGATAGACTCCAGCTGGACTCTCAATTGACTCTGGAGAAGGCGATTAATACCTTGCGCCAACACGAGGAGCTAGAACGCCAAAAACGTGAGCTCGCCAATACTAATGTTTTTATGGTGAATCAAACGTCAATACAAGTCGGTAAAACAAATCTGTCTGAAAGAGCTGGTGAACAGAAATTCACCGAGGATGCTATGAGAAAAAAGTGCAGGAAATGTGGTTATAACTGGCACGGATCACTGGCCGAATGCCCTGCTAGGAAAGCCAAATGTGACAAATGTTCCGAGATTGGACATTTTTTTCGATGTTGTCCCTCCTGCGAAAAGTGGATGAGAAAAAACAAAAACGTTGTTAAGGAAATCGAACAGCAAGATTCAGACAGTGGTTATCAACAGGTTCCTGAGATTTTCATAGGGAATATAGACAGCAGTGACAAAGCCTGGGTCCAGGAGGTAAAAGCAAGCTGTGGAAACCAAGATTTAGGTCTTATAAAATTTAAACTTGACACAGCAGCTGATGTAACCATGATTCCAGTAGGAGTTCTTGGTGATTTTATTAAGACTCTGCCTCTAGGAAAGTGCAAATCCCCTGTGTTTAGCGCAAAGAAGAAAGAACGAATCAATATTTTGGGAACTTTAAGGCTAAAGCTTGAACATAAGGGTGTATCAGTTTATGATCTTGCGTATATTTCTGAGGAGATCACTGTTCCACTTCTTAGCAGACGTTCCTGTGAAGAGCTGAACCTGGTGAGGAGAAATTTTTCTGTAGATTCACATGATATTGACTGGGCTACTAAGTATCCTACTTTATTTCAAGGGCTGGGAAATATGAAAGGAGAGTACAAGATTGAAATGAAGGAGAATGCAGTTCCTTACGCTATATCCACCCCCAGGGTTGTACCAATACCTTTAAAAACCAAGGTGAAAGAGCAGTTAGACGATATGCTTGAGAAAGGAGTGATTGTTCCAGTTGAACACGCGACTGATTGGTGCGCACCAATGGTAGTTTGCGCAAAAAAGGGAGGTGGGGTTAGGATCTGCGTAGACCTATCCAAACTCAACAACAGTGTGAAACGTCGGTTTTATCCTATCCCAAAGATCGAACTTTCATTGGCCGAGATCGCGGGAGCCAAGTACTTCAGCAAGATCGATGCGAATTCCGGGTTCTGGCAACTGAACCTTGCAGAGGAGTCACAAGATTACACAACATTTATCACCCCTTTTGGGAGGTATAAATTCCGTAAGTTACCTTTTGGAATTACGTCCGCTCCTGAAGAGTTTCAGCGCCGCATGTCAAAAGCTTTAGAAGGGGCAAAGAACTGTTTAGTGCACATTGACGACTGTCTGATATGGGGAAGAACGAAAGAAGAACACGACGAGTGTCTTAGGGCCGTTCTAGAGAGAGTGCAAGCTAATGGAATCACCTTGAATAAGCAGAAGTCGGAGTTCTGCAAGAAAACTGTGACATTTCTGGGGTTTGTGCTGTCTAAGGACGGAATCAAGCCTGATCCAAGCAAGGTACAAGCGATTGTGGACTTACCAGCTCCAAGAAACGCTAATGAAGTACAAAGATTCATGGGCATGATCACTTTTCTGGCAAAATTTATTCCGAACCGCAGTGAGATTTTGGAGCCAATTACGAGCTTGTTAAAGACTAAAAACGATTTCCTTTGGGGACCAGCTCAAGAAAACGCTTTTGTCACAGTAAAACAGATTTTATCATCAGAGCCATGTGTGACTGTTTACGATCCGCAAAAACCCTCGATTCTTTCTTGCGATGCTTCAAAAAAAGGTCTTGGAGCGGTTTTACTTCAAGTTGAAGGAGAAAGCAAGAAACCTGTGGCATATATATCTCGGACTCTAACGCCTGCTGAAGAAAACTACAGTAACATTGAGAGAGAAGCGCTTGCTTGCACATGGGCAAGTGACCGTTTGAAATGTTTCCTGATGGGTAAAATGTACACAATTGAGACCGACCACAAACCGCTTGTCTCAATTTTCAAAACACAAAATTTGGACGAGCTCTCACCGAGGCTACAGCGGTTCCGAATGCGTATGATGAGATACGATTATCGCATGACCTGGACCCCAGGAAAAGACCTTGCCATAGCAGATCTACTATCAAGAAGTCCTATTCCGGCTGACGAAGATGGCGAATTGACCGAAGAAGTGGAAGCCTTCGTCCACGAAATCAGTCTGATTAGTATAAACACTACAGATGAAAATGTGACAAAGGTACTTCACTCACAAATGAGAGATCCAATCTGTGCACAACTTAAGTTACAAATTTTAGACGAATGGCCTGTAAAATCAAGTTTACCTAATGAGATTCAAGAGTACTTTAATGTGAAAGACGAGTTAAGTTGTATTGATGGGCTATTGCTTCGAGGAACTCGGATGATAATACCTCAAGAACTACGAGCGGAAATGCTCGAGAGGCTTCACAGTGGACACTTGGGAATCACAAAAACAAGGAAACGTGCTTTGGGAACCATGTGGTGGCCTGGAATTTCTCAAGAAATAGAAAGGAAAATCAAATCGTGTCCAGTGTGTATTCAGAACTCAACTAATCACAGTGAACCATTGATTCCGAGAACCGTCCCGGATTACCCGTGGCAAAATGTGTCTGTTGACTTGTTCAAACACGAAGACAAGTGGTATATGGTTATCGTGGATCACTACTCAAGATACTTTGAAGTCGAGGAAATGCATCGAATGAGGGCTTCAGATGTGATTCGGGTTTGCAAAACCACATTTTCACGTTTTGGAATTCCTCAACGTGTTTATTCAGATAGTGGGACACAATTTCACCATATTGACTCAAGTGAATTTAAATTGTTTGCAAAGGAGTGGGGGTTCTCCACATTCAGAAGTAGTCCCCACCACCATCAGGGAAATGGGGCAGCTGAAGCAGCTGTGAAAGTAGCAAAAGGGCTAATGAAGAAAAACAAGGATAAATTTGAACTTGCCCTACTTTCTTACCGGACCTCACCTCTTGAAACCGGCTTTTCCCCATCTGAACTTATGTTTGGAAGGAAATTAAGAGACAATCTTCCATCTACTTTGGTTGGAAATCCTGTGGAAAATAAGAATTTTCTTGAGAGGGAGAATAAGTACCAGAATAAGTACAAGATACAATTTGATAAACGACATGGAGCGAGTGGTTTAAGTGAATTAGAAGTTGGAAGCATGGTATGGATCACAGATCTACGTCGACACGGTAAGGTAGTCAGGAAATTGAACGAACCACGTTCCTACCTTGTGGAAACTGACAAGAGAACTATTCGCCGAAACAGGAAGTTCTTAGTTCCTGCACCGTACTACGGAGGAGATGGAATTCTTTCAAACTGTTCATCCATGGTCCTTAATCGTCCATGCAACTCACGTGATCGTCCAGGAGCTGGCACAGTAACCCGTTACGGAAGGTCCATTAAGAAACCGAGGCGGTACTGAGGTTCATAAAGATGTGGACATCTTGAAGCGGGATGTTGTATTAAGTCTGTCTTTTTATCATGTGTTTAAATATGTTTGTTGTCAGATGTTTTTGTAAACATTAGTTTAGTTTGAAAATAGAGTTTGTTCAAGCAAGATGTGTGAATAATATTCTTGTATAAGAAATAGAACACAGAATCGTAAATCTTATTAGACTTTTGACTGACAAATAAAAACCTTTTCTTTGCATTAAAATCACCCTTAAAATGTATAAATAAGCACCCCTTTAGAGTATATAAATAAACACTCTCCCAGACTGTGTGTTTACATATAAATCAAAATCAAAATGTATCATGGTTATTTTTTATCAAGGAAGGGCACAATTGCCAAATGTTTACTACCAATCATGTTAAAGGTTATTTCTCTATTAAAGTGTATTTTTTAGTTAACCTGATTGTCCTTTTGAGTTTCAGTTATATTATTTTTATTTTTGAATCAACTTGGTACACAATCCTCGTATCAGAAATTTAATGTATTTATTTCAGGTTTGGATCTAAACAATTAAGGTCTGATTTGGGCTTTGTTGGTTCCTGCAACATTATTGTTTTGGGATGTGTTTCAACAGTTTGAGGGTCCAAATAAAAGTGTTTTTGCCATCTTTTCATAAAATCAAATAATAGTAATTAAAATAGCCGCCATATTGAAATGTTGAATTGGACCGACTTAATTGTTTCCGAACACAGGTTGCTTTCTACTTTTTCTCTTTATTTTGACCAATAGTACCAAATCCCAGAATTTAGCTGTTTATTTACGATGCTTAAACAATATTTAAAATATAAGCTGCAATAAAATATAAGGTAGTGAGATGAGAAACTGACAGGATCAAATGCCGCTTTGGCAGGACCAGGCGAAGAATCATGGTAGAGAGTGGCTAAGGGTTGTCTTCGCTGGGATGAGAATCCGTACGACAGGGGATGGGGCTGAACACAGAAATAACAACAATTATAATATAACACAAAAAATAAGATTAAATTAAAACAATATAGGTAAAATCAAAATTAAAAACAAAACTAAAGTAGAAACACAAATATAAAAAATTAAAATTATTATCTTATATGGGTTATTTAAAAGAATTGGTTTTTCATTTCCGAGTTCGTTTGGCTCTTCTCCTCGACCGATTTTCATGATTGAGGTCTCAATTTGAAGGTATGCACACTCATGTTTGCCACAGCAAATCAAATAGCAAATCAAGCATCAGCATATATATTTATCTATAATCCCACTCGGCTTATACGTAAATGAAATTTGCTACCCATGTATTTCTTATTGGAGTTAAATTTGGTTTTTCTTTTACAAGTTCGTTTGACTCATCTACGTGACTAATTTTTATTATTATTTTTATAAAATTATCTTTTATAGCGTATTTCTATGATAAAAAAATCAATACCTCCAGTATTGTTAATGATTTTTATATGATTTTAGACTCAAAATAAACAGTAAGGTATCTGTAATCCAAAAATGCTATGGGAAGGGAAGGAAACAGATCCGCGACGTAGGAAGCGATGAAGGAAGTAGTAAAGGTGTGCAGTCCGGAGAGTGGGAACTGTTTATGACGATAAGACTAAGGTATCTGCAATCCTAAAATGCTATGGAAAGGAAAGGGAGGGAAACAGGTCGGTGACTTAGGAAGTGGTGAAGGAAGTAGTAGAGGCGAGTTGTCCGGAGTGTGGGAACTGTTTATGACGGTTAGATTAAGGTATCTGCAATCTTAAAATACTATGGGAAGGGAAGGAAACAGATCCGCGACGTAGGAAGCGATGAAGGAAGTAGTAAAGGTGTGCAGTCCGGAGTGTGGGAACTGTTTATGACGATTAGACTAAGGTATCTGCAATCCTAAATTGCTATGGGAAGAGAGGGAAACAGGTCGGTGACTTAGGAAGTGGTGAAGGAAGTAGTAGAGGCGAGTTGTCCGGAGTGTGGGATCTGTTTATGACGATTACATTAAGGTACCTGCAATCCTTAAATGCTATGGGAAGGGAAGGAAACAGGTCCGCGACGTAGGAAGCGATGAAGGAAGTAGTAAAGGTGTGCAGTCCGGAGTGTGGGAACTGTTTATGACGATTAGATTAAGGTATCTGCAATCCTAAATTGCTATGGGAAGAGAGGGAAACAGGTCGGTGACTTAGGAAGTGGTGAAGGAAGTAGTAGAGGCGAGTTGTCCGGAGTGTGGGATCTGTTTATGACGATTACATTAAGGTACCTGCAATCCTTAAATGCTATGGGAAGGGAAGGAAACAGGTCCGCGACGTAGGAAGCGATGAAGGAAGTAGTAAAGGTGTGCAGTCCGGAGTGTGGGAACTGTTTATGACGATTAGATTAAGGTATCTGCAATCCTAAATTGCTATGGGAAGAGAGGGAAACAGGTCGTTGACAGGAAGTGGTGAAGGAAGTAGTAGAGGCGAGTTGTCCGGAGTGTGGGATCTGTTTATGATGATTAGATTAAGGTATCTGCAATCCTTAAATGCACAATAATAATAATAATCTATTTGTTTTATTCATTTTATTCCGTAAATTTAACTATTGTTGTTGTTCAAGTAGCTTATTATTATTTTCTCAGTGTCTATCGTATTATTTTAATTATCTGTTAGGTATATATATGTTGTGGTTGTTTTAAGTGTGAATGTAACTTTGCTGTGTTGCCAACCTGGCCAACGGCCCTTCCGGCCAATGCCTAAAGTGTTTATTTTGGCAGATGCCCTGCGTGGTATCTGGAAATGTAAATAAAAGCAGCAATAAAGCACTTTTTCATTCATTCATTCATTCAATCCTTAAATGCTATGGGAAGGGAAGGAAACAGGTCTTTGACGTAGGAAGTGGTGAAGGAAGTAGTAAATGCGAGCAGTCCGGAGTGTTTGTGGGAACAGTTTGTAGCAGTTAGAATAATGTATCTCCAATACTGAAATGCTATGAGAAGGGATGGCAACATGTCCACGACACAAGAAGTGGTGAAAGAATTAGTAAAGAAAGGCTAGCAGTGCGGAGTGTGGGTAATGGATTCATGTATCTGCAATATTATGACTGCTTTCAGAGTAAACTAATGATTTTCCCCGAGCAAAGCTCGGTCCCCAGGTACTAACTTTTTAACACCCCTATTCAATCTTTGGTGCAAACTAGTCATCAACACTTACAGTTGCTGAGGGTGCAATGTTGAGTTTCCAAGATGCTTCTTCTACAATATTTTTGACACGTTGAAGAAGATCTTGGTGCTCTGACTGTAAAACAGGTTTTAGATTAAGTAATAAGAGAATAAAATTTATACACATCATGAATTATAATGTAAAATACCCCCGCTGCAGCAAACCTGTCAGCTTGGAAATTTGTATTTGTCTGATTGAACACATTAATTATTCCAAGAACGTTAAATTGAAAGATCTCTCACAAACGCGGTAACTTCGGACTTGCAGTTTAGCTTATAGATCTATTTACAGTTAAACTTATCATTGTACACAAATAATTCCCTCAATATGAAAAATAATTCAACTCACCAGCATTGTCGTCTGCAGGGAAGTAGAACTGACTGCCGGGGTCAACTCCATTCCGTCATGTTGGTCAACCTAGTTGATCATAATAGGTACTACAATACAGGATTGTGTTAACACTTAAGGATTTTTTTAGAAGATTTCAGCTATCTTATTTAGGGAGTACTAGGGGGGAGGGAATCTGATGATTTTTAGTATAGGTACTAGGTAAGAGGTGTGTTTGGTTGGCACACAATGTGCCTGGAAAGACGCAGGTTGCAGCTCACAGAAGGATGAAGAGGAATCCAACGTTATTCAGGAAAGAGCTCTGGTGAATAAGAAGTCTGCTTAAAACAAGTGGAGGAGGGAGCCCTGGCCTCCAAACACCTCTCTCTCTCTCTACATTTGACTTATATCTATATATAAACACATAATATACTGTAGCTGCAAGGTGCAATCATTTTAAATTGGTTTTAAAATCCATGTTTTAGCCCCTGAGTTTTTGGACATAATGTAAGCCTAAATTACTTTGCATTTCCTGTCAGACAGCTCAGAAACATGTGTGTTCCTTTGGTGTTGGGATATCATCGTACTGGTAAATTGAATGTTAATTCAAATAACAACACAATTGTTCCAATGTCTGTCATTCATCGTAAACTGTCATTCACTTGTAAAACACAAAAATGTTTATCCTAAATGACTATGACAAAGTTTCCAACTGAGTATTTTTACAAGTATCTGAAGCTGACAATATGGAACATGCCCTCAACATACAATATTGTTTATCAAATGTATAAAATATATTGAATACCTTAGGTGATTCAGGCATGCATAAAATTAGCCATTTCTTACAAAAGGAAAATGTTTTTAATTGTTTGAACCAATTAGCCAGTATATAAACTAGCTGTTACCCACGGGCTTCAACCCGTTTGACTTCAAAGTATTATAAAAAACTATTGATTGGTTAAGTTAGGATGAAATAAACAAAACAGAATACAGCATTACAATAGTTATTTGTGCAACTAGTGAGAAAAGTGAGCAATTGACTCACTCGAGAGAAATCCTTACTCACGAGCCGTAGGCGAGTGAGGAATGGTTTCTCGAGTGAGGCAATTGTACTTTGAACTCGAGTTGCACATTATACTTTTCCTACAGTTACCATAAAACATATAAATTTGTGAAGAAACATAACCTATTTTTACACAGAAGTGAACTTTTAATAAAACATTTAATGTGAAGAGACAAATACAACAGTACAACAGCTGACCAGCTGATTTACAGCCAGTGCTGCCAACGTATTTCGCGCGCATACGACGTTGCCTACATGTTACGCGCTCACTATTTCGTGCCTTCACGTTGCAAATCTGGAGTGAGACAAAGTAATTAGAGTGAGACAATGTTAACATGTCTCACTGATGAGCGAATTGGCCACTTTGCTTTCTCAAATCAGTGAGAGAACATGTACATTGTTAGGTAACTGTAGGAAAACAAATAATCACACCAGATTTTAATAAGGTAATAAATAATTGAAAGAATAACATACAAATAAAAATAAGAACAGCTGAGGTATTTTTAACATTAAGTATATGGAAAGTTCCCTTTGGAAAGCAACTAAGACCTTAAAGGGCAATTTATGAAAAAATGGATAATTTTGCGCAAGGTTTCTTGTCATGACGAACATTTTAAGTATATGGTTTATGGGGGTGTGACTTGTAGTTTTCTCAAAAGTTCATGGGTACTTTTGCCTTTATAAAGGGTGCGCCAAAATAACCTGACGGATTTTAATACTAAATAACTCAAGAACAAACTACAATTTCATGTATTAAATAACGTTATATTGTACACACTACTATGCCATTTTCATTTACGAAAAATTATATCAAACAGTTTATATCGCCTTCTGCTAAACACAGGCATCCAATTTTTTTTTGCATATTTGCAGTCACCTTCGCCTGATGAATAGAAGCAATCGCTTCCCTGATACACTGCTTGAGTTCAGGGATGGTTTGAAATTTCGAAACAAACATTTTGCTTTTTAAGTATCCCCACAGCCAACAGTCACACAAAATTAAGTCTGAGATCGAGCTGACCACAGCACATCACCAAACCAAGAGATCGCTTTACCGGCAAAGAGTTCACGCAAAACTGACATTGAATAATTGGCTGTATGACAAGTTGCGCCGTCCTGTTGAAACCACGTGTTAGTCATGTCTATCCCTCATAACATCCGCAGTTGTGGAACCAATCCTCAAAAACATATGGTCCGATGACTCCAAAAAGTGCCACACCACACTGCACCACACTAGACAGTAACTTTCTTTTTACGACGTGATGTTTGACCAAACATAACCTAAAAATGGCATAACATAAGCAATCGTTCTCTACAACAATGAGGTCTCTAGCTAGTATAACAGCTGACTTATTACAAAACAGAAACCGTCAGGTTTTTTTGGCGCACCCTTTATATAAGCCAATATATATTAGCCTTTATATATAGAAGATGTATTAGCTATACTACAGGGTAACAGGGTAAGTACTATTTTTACTTACCCTGTTATACTGATCTACTGGAGGAGTCAGCATCATATCCTGAAACACACCTGAGAACTGAATAGTCAAAGGAAAAGATTATAACTGTGGTACTAAAAAGAATCTGTGTTCGAGGATAAATATCTAGATAAATAATTATTACTGTAGTCCCCAACCAACTTTCCAATGGTAAATAGGTTTAAAGAAGAACAAAAACTACAATGTATTATAAGAAGACATAACAAGCACCAATAGTGTATACACACATATTTTATTTAGTTTATTACTATTTTAAAAACAGGTAGTATACATTTATTTGTATTATCTCTAATCATTGACATATTTTTCCTTGACATTTTTTATTGTAGCTGAACATCCTAAAACAATCCCCTATTTTAAAGATACGTTTCTATAGTTTTAAGAACCCTTCTACTCAGGGCCGATTTACCGAATAGGCACGGTAGGCACGTGCCTAGGGCGCGAGGCAATTGGCTTTTCTGGGGGGCGCCAAAAATTTGGAAATTAAAAAAAAATTTGTGGTAGTATTTGCATGATATCGCGGTAAACTTCTGATAACCACTCGCGGCCGTATAGGCATCGTAATCGTCTCCCGCGTTTGCGGCAAGATTCTTACTATTTTCTGCAGTCAGGTCGTTTGGACATAAAATTATCGTCTTCCATGATCGAGGCAATATATGAACATATCCCCCGGTCGTGATGAGATTATTATCATCTACCGAAAATGAGGTAAAATTCTGATATTTTCCAGCGGTCGTGAGGACATTATCCTCGTCTTGCGCGATCGCGGTCAAATTCTGACCACCCCCGCGGCCGTGAAGACATCATATCGTCCCCGTCGGTCGTTTCCAGGACATAGTAGTCGCCTCCCGCGATTGTGGCAAAATGGTAATCATCTCCCTCGGACATATGGAGATAATCGTCTTCGGCGAATGAGGCAAAATTCTGATCTTTTCCTGCGGTCATTTGGACATTATCATCGTCTTCCGTGATCGCGGCAATATTCTGATCATCCCTCGTGGCCGTCAGAAATAGTTATTATATCTCCCGCGGTCCTGTAGATATCGTACGTATACGTATCCCGCAGTCGTGAATCCATGGTAATCGTCTCCAGCGATTGCGGCAAAATTTTAATCATGTCCTGCAGTTTTGTGGAGATCATCATCGTCTTCCGCGATCGCGGCAAAGTTCTTGAGGTTTCCTGCGGTCGTGTGGACATCAATCGTCTTCCGTGATTGTGGTAATATTCTGATCATCCGTTGCGGCTCTGTAGATAGTAGATACCACCATCTTCTTCTGCGATCGCAGAAAATTCTGATCATCCCTCGTGGCCGTGTGTAGACATTTATTATTGTCTCCCGCGGTCACGGAAACGTCACTGTTGTCATGCGCGATCACGGAAACGTCACTGTTGTCATGAGCGATCACGGTAAATTGAAAACTCTGGGTAGAAATACAAAATTCACGATTCAAAGATCTCCCGCATGATTCCCGGATATCCCGGTCGGTGTACACCCTGTTATATATATATATTGCAAAGGGGCGCTACTATTAGACGTGCCTAGGGCGCTGACAGGGTCAAAAACGGGCCTGCTTCTACTGAATTTACTTCCCTTTCCCCCTTGAGAACAACAAAATATATGTAAACTAATCTTACCGAAGTGGGTGGACGAGGAGGAGATATAGATAGAATGTCTGCCGCTGAGCGTTGGCTCTGAAAATATAACACCAAACAGGGGATATGAGTTTTTAGGTATAGTAAAAAATGATAGATACACGGTGCTGAATTTTATAAACGCTTTTTTTCTAACCTGCTATTAAGACAAAACAATAATATCCCACTTGGTTACTGTAATAATATTCCCAAAATATGTCTCAAATAGTAACTACTTTGTAAAAGATTACTTGATGTAATTAGTTAATATTTCATGTTTTTTACCTGATACGTTTAATACTTTTTAAAATTGAAATGAAATGGCAACCATACATTGGGTATTGAGCAATGCCGACATGTTGCTTATACAGGACTTTTAATTAATAGCCCATACAGTTAATGGCAACTATGGGACCTACAGTTTATAGTGGAATCCAAACCTCATTTTTGCCTGTAATTTACGGATTGGTGTAATTATCAGGATAGAACTGCAGACAGTCATAACTCACTAGTGCAACGTTACAGTAATCCACACCAGGGAGTATCGCTTCCCAGGGCTACAGATATACAAGGGCTGGCTCACTCCTTTGATGTTAGCGGTCGCCGCCTGATCCTACTTCCCCTCCCCCGCCCCTCCTCAGTGACGTAGCGGAGATACATCGGCGCGAGGCGCGACGGTAGCCTAGCACGGCAGCACAGCATATTAATAATTGTGTTTATAATAATGTAGCTTTATATTGTGATTTTTAAAGCGGGTTTCGTTAACCCTCCAACTTGCAATGGGCGAACTCTGTAGTGGCAAGGCATTTTTGGCGATTTTGCAGTAATATTTTTGAAAATTCATATAAACTAATCCAACAGATCAAACCTATGAACCGTATTTACTATTTCCAACTTGAAATGTTCGTAATGAAATGAAAAATTTGAAAATGGCAACAAAATTAATATTAAAAATATTGTAGAAAATATTGTCAGTAGGTAGAAAAATTGCTGCATGAACCAAAAATGCTTCATAAGATATACAAATTGTTTGGAATTTATTTCCCTACATGGAAATTCCAATTACCATATATACAAAGTTATGGCCCAAAAATAATAGAATGGCAATTTTCACGATTTTTTGATTTTTCAAATAAAACTGAATAAATGTATTATCAAGACATAAAGTAAAAGTGGTAAAAGTAAACATTTTTAGGCAATAATATTGGAGATCAAATGAAGTAAGAATTTTTTATGTATACTGATCATTTCAATAGATGTTTATGACTTGTAATAAATGTTTATATTTGTCGAGAAAAACATTTTGTTATTTACACGTATATAATATTTTTAAAACCCCACAAACCAACTATATAAAATGAAAGTAAACTTATTCCCCTACATGAATATACATAGTTATAAAGGCAAATATACACAAATAAATATTTTAGTTTTTTTCTATAAAATGCTGCTGTGCCTTTTTCATTTCGCGATTAAATCGTTTGTTAATTATGACGAAATGTTAAAAAAAGGGCTAAATGTAATGTCCCAGACCTCAAATTAAGTAAGTATATCGACATAAAACAGTTTATAAACTAAATAAGTACAATTTTTACAACTAATAAATACGATTAAAGTGATAGCATTTTATATTTGGTACTGTATTTTTTGTCACTCTTTAAAAAACAAATTCAAGTTAGTATTTTTCTTTTTTTTTAGCTCTGCTCAGTCATGAAAGATTCAAACATGTTAGTTCAATTTTGTCAGTTAAAACAGAAATTTAAATATTTGCAAGATCCTGTAAGGAAAAGAGACGACAATTTGATTGGCCAGGGTAACTCAGTGATTGTTTGAAGCACATGGTCTTCAGCCAATCACAGGGTTGCCTTGGTCAAACAAAACTTAATCACCCTTCTTGTCCGGCTCAGTTGTGCAAAACCAGTTGATAAGTAAAGTTATAGTTTGTTAGTTCTTTTGGTCAGTTACCCCACGTTTTGGGTAAGTCTCTTAAAAATTTTAAATTTAGTTAGTTTTATTTTAGATATGTTGACAGATGTCCTCTCTTTTTCAGATTTTGAATAAATCTCAATTCACAAAGATTCTAATTAATTTTATTTCTTTTAGGGCTCATGATTAAGAAGCAACTTAAAAATTTAAATAAAGTCAAGATTTGTTTAAGTATAGTATATCAAAAAGGAATTTTTAAAAGATTGAAACTTAATATAATTTTGATGAGCAGAGCTTATTTTCAAGAATTTAAGTTGAATGTTATTATGATAAAAAATGAAGATTTTAAAATAAAAGTTTTGTTCAATCATTTTCAAGAGGATATTATCTTTACCTGCTTTTGGCATTTAAACAAATTTTTACAAGTCAAGACATTAAAATATATTAATACATAAACTAGATCATGTGGGCCTAGTACGCTACAAATTCAAACCCGCGATATTCGTTGTTGGTAAACAGTCAATGAAGTTCACAAAAACTGGATAAAAAATAGTGTCTCAAGTTTCTAAAAGTAATGTCACATTACAGTCGAGGCACAATAAATAATATCGTAACTAAACATTTACAACTTATAATCACGATGTAAACTGATAAAGTAAAATCACACCAAAACTCGACTTGTTAGTTATTGGTCAACAGAGATTGAGGTTAGTTAGTCAGGCAACTTAATGTATTTTTCCAACTATATGTTATTTTAATGTAATAAAATATGTAGGGCCTATAATAAAATGTAATTGATTAATTGAAATTCTTTTCCTTCCTGTAAAAGTTACAAAATACTAAGTATAGGTAATGTATTTTTATACAACCTCATTTTATATAACCCCAATGAATCCTAAAAGGTATAAATAAGTAATAAATAAATACAATTGATAATCCATACACTAAGCAATTCGAGCACAGATATTACACAGTAACTTAATGCATTGAATCAATAACTTCAGTATTCTTAGCCATCGCTTTACATTCCACTCCCATCCTTAAATATCTAATTTGTTACTTATTAAAATTGATGTTATAAGTAATCCTATTTTAAAATCAATTGTTCAATCATTTTCAAGAGGATATTATCTTTACCTGCTTTTGGCATTTAAACAAATTTCAAGACATTAAAATTAAAATTAAAGACATTAAAGTCAAGACATTAAAATATATTAATACATAAACTAGATCATGTGGGCCTAGTACGCTACAAAATGCGCTACTCTGCTGTACTTGTAAAGTTTGGTGTCAAATGTAAGATATAAATTCTTTAATTTAATTTAAAAAGTGTTATTGAAGTAACTTAAAATGGCTCTAAAAGTAGAATTTTTAGTCAAACAAGAACTTCAATATGAACTAATAGTAAGAGGGATTGAGTTTGATTCCAATGACAGTGTGTCAGAACTAAGAAAGTTATTAAGAGCAGCAATAAAAATTAATGTAATGCCTAACCCTTATAATCTTTCAAAAAGGTTAGTTGTTGTTGACGAAATTCAAACTTTAACTAATAGTTTGCAAAGTTTGGAAAACAAAATCCAAGATCTTGAAGAGAGTAAAGACATAAATGGTTTTATTAGAGCAGAAATTAAAATTAATCACTATGGATCAAGAGTAAATAATTTAAGTCAGTTTAACTACACTGGCCATCACCGTGTTTTATCGTAAATTTAACACCACGGGATTTACTGTACACACACTCCCTTATTACTACACAAAGAAGGCCCCATAAAAATTTAAATACTACACTGGCCATCACCGTGTTTTATCTATGTAAGCTAGGCGTGGATGAAAAAGCTAAAGTAGAGGGTTTGATAGACAATAGACAATAGACAATGATCTTTATTTACATATTCGTTGAGAACAGTACATGCGTCAGAATAATAATTAAAATTTGTTGATTTAATATGTTGTTAAAGCTGGTTGTCAAGGAATTCTTTTTCTGAGTAGAATGGCCTTTCTTGCAGCCATGTTGTTAATTGGTTCTTGAAACGGTGAGTTGGTTCATTTCTAAGTTGTTCTGGTAGGTTGTTGAAATATAGGGCCCCTTTGTACGATGGCTTCTTTTCAAAGAGACTTAGATGGTGAGGTGGTATTGCAAAGCTTGAGGCGTTCCGTGTATTGTGATGGTGAATGTCTCTGTTTCTTGTTTGGTTTGTGGAGATGGCATGGAGAATTGCCTCACGGATGTAAAGTGATGTCAGTGTGAGGATTTTTAGTTCCTTAAATGCATCACGACTGCTTTCTTGATATTGAAGGCCTGCTAGGCATCTTATAGCTCTTTTTTGTTGGATAAGTACTCTTTTTAGGTAGTTGTTGGATGTACTTCCCCAGACCACCAGACCATACCTGAGGTGTGACTCGACCAGGGCATGGTAGGCTGTTTTTGCGGTGTCCAGACCACCAACCTGCTTCATTCGCCTGATGACATGAATGCCAGAGCGTAGCTTCTTGCAGAGTTGGTCAATGTGCTGTTTCCATGTCAGTTTTGAATCCATGATAATGCCGAGATATTTGGTACTATTTTGTGCTTCTATCCCAGGGATTAATACGTTTGTGTCTTTATTTTTAGTAGAGTAGTTCAGCTTGTTAGTTAAAGACATTGACAAGTTAAAGTGATTGACAAGTTAAAGACAGTAAAAGAGTCATTTGGTAAACTCAACTTTGATACAAACGAAAAAGCTACAGTAGAGCGTAAACTTAGTGAAAGTATTTTAGAAGAGGAGGAACTTGAAAATGTTTTTACAGAAAAGTTAAAGTGTGTAGAAAAAGTATCACAATCTAATTTAAATGTGCAAGAGGACCAAAAATGTAGTTTTGCTAAGCTACCCAATCCAATCCAAATACATTTAAGAAATTTTAATGTTTGTGATGGACTTGATGTAAATAAGTTATTAGGTTTCATAAGTAACATTTTGAAACTCAAGGATGAAACTGAGCTTACTGATGATCAAGTAATAGACTTAAGCTTAGGATACTCAACAGGACCACTGCATATAAAATTGCTAGAGTTCAAGCGTTCCAAGGTAAGCTTAAGTGTGCTTCATCAAGGATTACTATCCTATTTTGTACCTGTAGGTTTAAGGGAAAATTTG